TGGGACCCCCAGCAAGGATGGACAAACGAGAGTGACCACACTTTTAGAAGACTTTCGCAGCGTTCTTTCCCCGAATGAAATGGTCAAGGTGAATACGCCAATGTTTTCTCGTCAAACGAAGCTGACATAGGAAAGACAGGCTTAGTTCATCTAGTCCATGGTGTTCACCTGTGGTGCAGGTAAAGAAGAAGGACGGCAGCATGCGGTTTTGTGTTGACTACCGCCCCCTGAACGACGTTACAAAGAAGGACAGCTATCCCTTGCCAAGAATTGATGACACGCTGGACATGCTTACAGGCGTAAAGTGGTTTAGTACGCTGGACCTGAAAAGTGGCTACTGGCAGGTTGAAATTGACCCTAAGGACAAGGACAAAACTGCATTCTCCAGAGGAAAGGGTCTGTGGCAATTTAAAGTCATGCCGTTTGGATTGTGCAATGCTCCAGCAACGTTTGAAAGGTTGATGGAGCTTGTACTTACCGGGCTAATTGGAGATGCCTGTCTGGTCTACTTGGATGACATCATCATCCTAGGCCGTACGTTTGAGGAACACCTTCAAAACCTGGAACGCGTGCTCATGAAGATCCAGAGTACCAATCTCAAGTTGAGTCCAAAGAAGTGCTCACTATTCAAACGGCAAGTTAGTTTTTTGAGGTATGTAGTGTCGGAAGAAGGTATCCGCACGGATCCAGAGAAAATTGCTGCTGTCAAGGAGTGGCCAGTCCCAAAAGACAAGACACAGGTTAGAGCATTTTTGGGTTTGTGCTCTTATTATCGGCGATTTGTGAAGAACTTTGCAGATGTAGCCAAACCTCTGCACAAGCTAACCGAGGAGAAGCGACATTTCTGCTGGGATGAAAGTTGCGATATTGCATTCCAGGAGCTCAGGAACCGTCTGTGCAAAACACCTATTTTGGGGTACCCTGATGCGGGCAAGGAATTCATAGTTGACACAGACGCAAGTGATATAGGACTTGGCGGTGTGTTGTCTCAACGGAATGGTGATCAAGATATTGTGATAGCGTACTTCAGCAAGTCGTTGTCAAAGCCGGAAAGGAACTATTGTGTCACAAGACGGGAATTGATTGCTGTGGTAAAGTCCTTGCAGCATTTTAGCAAATATCTTCTAGGGCGGAAATTCCACTTACGAACTGACCATGCTGCACTGAAGTGGCTATTGTAGTTCAAAAATCCGGAAGGACAAGTTGCGTGATGGATTGAACTACTGCAGGAATACGACTTTGTGATCGAACATCGCAGCGGGAAATCTCATGGCAATGCAGATGCATTGTCAAGAAGACCTTGCCCTGAAGATTGCAAGCATTGTACTAGGCAAGAGGGTAAAGAAGTGGTATCTACGAGGATATTCAGGACAGACCAGCTCAGAAATGAATGGAAGGACAGCCTACAACATGCACAGCAGGAAGATTCGTACATTAAGCCGATTCTGGAATGGATGAAGGCCAGTGCTCCTAAGCCCAAGTGGAGCGACGTCTCAGCAATGAGTTCGACCACGAAAAGCTTTAGGGCCCAATGGGACAGCTTGCTGATTCAGGATGGAGTCCTGTGCCGTAAATGGGTAAATGGTCGGGGAGACAGGTGTCATTTGCAAATGGTTGTCCCTAAGGCTAAAGTGCCGGATGTTCTACAGCTGTACCATAGTGGTTGTTCAGGAGGCCACCTGGGAGTTAAACGTACTCTCCTTAAGATCCGAGGACGGTTTTACTGGGTCCACTGTCGTGACGATGTCGAGGACTGGTGCCGCAAATGTACCAGTTGTGCGGCTGTAAAGGGACCTCAAATTCGTAGTAGAGGCGCATTGAAATTGTACAATGTTGGTGCACCATGGGAGAGGATAGCCATTGACGTTGCGGGGCCGTTTCCAGAAACTGAAAGTGGTAACAAGTATTTCATGGTTGTGATGGATTACTTCACTAAGTGGCCAGAAGTCTTCGCTATTCCAAATCAAGAAGCTTCAACAGTTGCAGATAAACTAGTTCATGAAATCTTCTGTCGTTTTGGAGTACCTTTAGAGATTCACAGCGATCAAGGAAGGAATTTTGAGTCTCAAATATTCCAGGAAACTTGCCGAGTTATGGGTATTCAGAAAACACGAACAACTTCTTACCACCCACAATCTGATGGAATGGTAGAAAGATTTAATCAGACATTGGAGAGGTACCTAGCAAAAGTTGTGGGAAACCGGCAACGAGACTGGGACAGGCACATACAACCGTTTTGTTGTCATATCGAAGCGCTGTTCACGAAAGTACATCAGTGACACCAGCTTTCGCAAACTTTGGGAGAGAATTGCGGCTGCCTGCAGACCTGATCACCGGAATACCACCTGATGCTCCACGCAGTATAACCGATTATGCAAATGACTTGCGGAACAAAATGAATGACATTTATGAGCACGTCAGACAGACGGGCCAGCAAACGTCTGAGAAGATGAAAACACGGTATGACCGCAAAATGAATAACAAGGGGTTTGATGAAGGTTCACTAGTGTGGTTACACAATCCAGTTCGCAGCAAAGGGAAATCTCCTAAGCTACAAGCTAAATGGGACGGACCGTACCGGATTGTGACAAGGATCAATGACGTAACCTACCGGATACAGAAAGGTGCCAGAGGTACTCCTAAGATTGTCCATGTGGATCGACTGGCGCGTTATTATGGGGCCAATAATGCTCGGGACGAGCATGTCTTACGAGGGGGCAGTGTTGCGCGCCACTATTAATGTCTTGTACATGGCAACACTAGTTACACTAGCGCCCTCTAGTGTCGAGTAGCAGAACTAGGAGAGTCGAGATCCTTCCAGAAATTTCGAGACCGATATGTACTCGAACATTCTAGATGTCGCTACAGTAGAAGGTTCTGGAAACTATCTGAGGCCCTATATAAGGCCGGTATAGACCACGACCGGACCAGTATTGAATTGGCGATACAAGAGAATACTTCGAAGCGAAATAACGGCGAACTGTGTTTTATTATTAGTGTGATCTTAGATTGCAATTAGTGTTGTGTAATTAAAGTGTCAATTTTGGTAATTCAATCGGCAGTTTTTAATTGTCTCGAACCCCAAGCTCGTAACAATAATAACACTAATAATGATAATATTATTATAATTTATAGAAAAAAATGACTGTGAACATCGCTTTAGTTAATAATGCCATGTAAATCGTGATTCTAAAATTTATTTAAATATATATTCATGAAATAAGTTTACTTACTCGTGAAATGTAATGCCTTCAATTTTTCCTTCATTGCGGCTTTTATAGCCCATAACACTGCACGAAACCACGATATGGTATAAAATCAAATAATTTTCTAACTGAAAACGTACAATTATGGAGTTTAATTTGCAAATAAATATTTAAACAAAATAATAAACATTGAAAAACTCCATGTCAGTTGCAGTGTCTGCCACTAAATTTAATGCCAAACAACTTTTTAGGTGGTACGGGAATAAGGAAAGCAATATAAAGCCATATCTTTTTCTTACAAGTGCTAATGTGATATATGCGTTTTTTGTTTTGTGAATGAAACAAAACATATCACGCTGTCTATTGGATTCTTTGTCTAGGTTGCTACATATTTATTTATCTATGCTTTGGCCTGTGCTGCCCATAGATAATATACTATATTTTTTCTTATATCTATGGGTGCTACCTCCGCCTCCGCCATAGATTACTGTATATATACTAGAGATAGATGCGCGACTCAAATTTAATTTTCTTTAGTGTCGCGTTTTGCATAACAGACAGCGCTTACAAAAGAAGGAACTTGAAAAAAAGGGAGAAAAAACTCATCTGCTGGACGCGATCCGGGGTCTTTAGATTTCGGGACCGCCCGATTATCCACCTGAGCTATTATAAACTTGTGCGTTGTGGCGAAAGTTACCTTCGTATTCTAATAATATTTTAGCAGTTTTTCACATGTATATAAAACATAGATAAAATGGCATTTTCTAAAAATAAATATTGTTCAATAAATATTAATAACAATTTAAGCGTAACCAGTGACCGCTACTAACTGCGCAGTGCGCGTGGATTATTGCGTATGCATTGGTATGCATAGATTTAATATATAAGTGCCCTCTAGTGTGATTAAAATAAGTCTAGCCTTGCGCTTCGGAATGTAGATGGAAGCAAAAAAAATATCATTTTATTCGTAAAATAATGTTCTAAGTTGCACCCCCATGACCTCCTCATAGGACGGTTACTATCAAAGAGTATAGTTACCTTATCTATGGAGTATAGTAATTGTTACTCCGCTAGGAGTAATAGTGTTCTGTGGTTACTATACTCTTTGCTCCGCATTCGCACCTCCGCGCTTCGTCCAGGCTCAGAACCTCCCTCTCAGAACAAAAAAATACCTCAAAGGACCCCCGCCAAAGAGCAAAATTAATTGCAGGAGGACACAAAAAAAATTGCAGGAGCTGACTATACATGGAGCTAGTGGGTATATATAAGGTTTATTTTATTTTGTATGAAGTTGGCGTTCTTCTCCGTTAGGAATAATAGTGTTCTGTGCTCAGAAGGCCTAGAATTCAGAGCCGTAAAGCCAGTTAAAAAAAACACTCCGCACTCCGAGGGTATTAGTGTTCTGTGCTCCGCAGTCCGCACCACAGAGTACATTGTATATAGGGAAGTCCGCACCCTTGTTTCTGTTCACAGAGTACCTTTTTTCTGTTTCTTTCGGTGTACTGATTAGTGATTACTGTGTTGTGTTACTTTTATTTTAATTTGATGTTGTTGTGATTATTTTTAAGATGGATAATAAATAAAGACCCGTAGTGCACTTATTGAAACCATATGCAGATCTACTTATAATATAATTTTCCGACTTATTCTTTGTTTATCACTATTCACTTAAGACTTGGAATAGCTGATAGATAATTAAGAGGTGAGGAATTCGCAAAATAGATAAGATTTGTATGGCACGCCTATTATGGTGGATTTCGAAAGCCATAAAATACTAAGTAAAATTTATTTTAGATGAGCGAATCGTGTGTGGAGACTTCAGAAGCACCAGCTTGGCTATCCAAATTAGAGAGTCAGCGCGAAAAACTAAGTAAGGCTAGGCTTGGTCATGACAGTGGTGCTGGTGCTCCTTGTAACTCTTGTGGTAAGTAGATAATTGAGTCGCTTTTTGGATGTAGTCATCAAAATGATAATTTTTCCAAATGTGATTGAGCGAATGGGCTTGTAATGATACTATTCGATACAAAAAAAAAATCACTACAAATTTCTATGAAAACACAAGTGGTAAAATAAAAAAATTTGTACAACCAACTTCAATATAAATAAAATGAAAACTTCATCAATGTAGCTGAAGTCATAGTCTTCTTATTCAACACAGGTTTATTAATCAAGTCAATACAATATGAGTAACTTTAATAAAATATTGTAACAGGTCCAACATGCCCTGGTTTAGACCTTCATTTTTGGCGAAAGGTTTGTCGTGCATGTCATTGCAGTAAGGATGTACATGATGTACAAGATGATGATCTGTCTGGATGGGCTCAATTTGAGCTACTGGGAACTGCTAGACCTAAAAAAGCTTCATGTAAGTATGGTCAAAGTAATATTAGAATTAAAAATGTTCTATATGTAATTTTTATGTGAGTATTCACAAACCCAAAGTATTTTTGAGGAAATTATATGATACTTTATTTATTTTTCAGTGCCCTTGATTAAGATTCATGGAGTGACTGACAAACCTGTTAAATTAGATTGGGTACCTCCAAATGCTTCAACAGAATTGGTAATTATATAAAAAATATTATCTCATGCTTAATCTAATCTATGTTATTTTTGGACTTGTATGTTTAAAAATATTTGCTGATAAACTTCTATTTTTTTATGTATTGTTGATTGTTTTATATATTTCTATCTAAGGTGCTGTGCAAACGTGGACACTTTTTGTTACCGATATGGCACACCATCACAGGAAACCGTAGTCACTGTGTTGGGTAGTGGCAACTGGACACAGTCGCCGGTTGCTGCTTCTAAACACTGATAACAATTCCTTGCTTGTTTTCAGTTAGTTTAGTCGATGGAGGAACATTACCTTTGCTTGTTGTATTGATTACATGTTGACGTAGACATTGTCGCTGTCGATTTTTACAGGCACATCAACCACGCCAATGTCAGAGCCAAGGAACTATTGTAACGAAATTTGCTTTGTGTTGCTTGTGTCTTTGTCTTCAATTGACGACTTAAAATTTCCAGTTACCTACACTAAACACTTTTTGATTGGCGGTGGGTATGTGTATACACAGTGTCTGCGTCTGTGCAAGGAATTAAAAAATGCAAAGGAAAATAAAATATTGGTAGCTTGTATCCCCCATAAGACACAAAAGTATCTAGAAAATCTTTAGTCAGGCCCATTTGGATTATGTATTTTTTTCAATAGTTCACTAAATTATTTAAAAAAATATACACCTCTCATTGGATTAGATCTGATTGAAATTTATGTAGAATCACTGTGAAGTTAACTCTTTATGTAAGTAAAAAATTGTCAAAATTGGTTGACTAATGTAGAGATATTGTGTTAAATATATTAAAAAAGAAGATAACTCATTAAAGTTTAAATCTCCCCCTTTTACGATTTCGGTTAATTAACAAAATAGGTTAATAAAGAAGATGTTGAAATCTCTCTCTTGTAGGCTCAAAAAATCTCACTTCTTGTCTCTAGTGAAGTAATTAATATATTCATATGCATAATATATATTAAATACTGAGAACTTATGTATCCAAGTTTATGTGATAAGATCTGTGGGAGGGTCAAATGCGGTGGTTGACACAGTATCCTTGTGCATATGTCATGAAGATAACAAGTTGCACCACTTTCAATTTATACTAATATGTTCACAATATACAACAGAGATTTCATATTGTGTATTCAACTTGGTAGTATAACAAAAGACTAAGTCATTTGTGAATATTAAATCACTAAAATATTAAATATACTTATTTATAAATATAAAAGCTAGGAGTATGCATTTGTTTACATTGTTTAAACAAAATAAAAAAAACTTTTTTTATAGAATATGGGTGACAACTGAGTACACAGTCCACCTGATGGTAAGCGGATACTGTTTGCCCATAGTCATCTACATTAATTGTCAATTAAGAATCAAAATACAGATGTGTTCTCACCCCTTGAGGACTAAGATGAAATGCCCCTTTTCCAGTAATAAGGGTCTTTGGTTCTCTACACTCGCCATACGAAAAACACCAGCATTAAGCTGCTATTTTTCGCTGTTACTCGTGAGAGCGTGATCCTACCCCGGTCGCGCCGACCCATTCTCGCTACTATAATACAGTTGCAGCGTGGCTCTACCATGTATTCTTCAAATAAATACTTTAAATAGAATATTAACAAAACATTTTTTTTATTCAATGGTTAAAATTTTTTTGAATATGACATACCTTCTTCATTAGTAAGGATGTAACCCAAGCATTAGAATTTTAACTACAAGATACATTCAAATTGGCTAACTATAAGCGCTCTAGAAAAGTTTTCAAAATAGAAGCAACTGCCTATATTAGAATAAATGAATTTCTTTCTTTTTGCAAATATGGGTGATACAGAATGTGGTGATAAATATATAGTATACATTCCACCATATTTTACCAGAAGGCATGCAAAAAATATATTTTTTTTATCAACTTACGTAGATATGTCATTCACAACATAATATAACATTAGATTAACAAAAATAAAAAAGTCTCTTCAAATTATATGTAAGTCTAGTCAATCGGTACATTATTATCACTATTATTTAATTATTATAAGCCATCGTCAAATTAATGACATTAATAATAATAAATAAATATTCATGTGACAAACATACAAATTTTAACATAACATTTTGTCCATTAAAAATTCATTAATATTATAGTACACCTTGTCTGCTAAAAAGTTTCGTAGCCTTCTCTTAAATAATGAAGTATTGCGATCCCTGCAACACTTGGGTAATTTGTTGTAAACAGCCGGCCTCATACAGCAGATAATGTTGCGTATTAGTGCTGTTTTCCCTTAGGAATGTAAACTCTACTTTTGTCGCGTCTGTTTCTTGGGGCAAGGTTTACCAGGCACTTAAAACGGTTCTGGTACGACTTTACAAAGACTGCTATCTCTAATATATATATATATATATACAAGGTAGAGTTAATATTTTATATTGGTTAAAATATGGCTTACAGCTATCAACAGCGTTTGTGTACACTCCATGTTTAAGCTGAAGAGTACCGCTTCAGCTTAAACATGGAGTGTATACATCTTTTTTGGGCCGTGAATACCTTTCCTTTTTCGCAACAGTTACCCCAAAATATTACGCCATATCGTAGGTATGTTTCTACCGTACCATAATACGCAATAAGGAGTCCATCCGTACAAATTATAGAAGACAATATGCCTAGAGCATAAGTAGATTTACTTATATTTTTACAAAGAGTCCTAATGTGCGATTTCCAATTAAATTTTTCATCAATTTCCAGCCCCAAAAATCTCGTGCTTTCGACTTCGGCAATGTTATAGTTATTATATTGCATTATGAGTTTACTATTATCGTGTTTGCGTTGACTGAAACGTATAACCTTTGTTTTGCTAAATATTATTATTAAATTATTGTGATCTAGCCATTTTATAATTGTTTTTAGCCTTTTATATTTTAGTTTTTAGTTTGAAGTTTATAAGTCAAGCTTGGATACATTGCAAAACATCATGTTATCGGGAAATATTGATAAATTTTATATATTAGGTGACTTTAATATTTCTTCTTATAATGGGGCATTGCCTAATGAATGCGAATTAACTTTGATTTGAAAATACATGTTTAAGTTTATTAATATCATTGGTGGCTTCCAAAATAATTATTTAAGAAATCACCAAGGAAACTTACTTGATTTATTTATTAGTAACAATAATAATAATAATTTATGTTTAGTACCCTCAATGAAATTAGTCCCTTTAGATCCTTTTCATCCGCCTTTTTACACTTGTATTTATCTATCCTCCTTGTCTCGGGCTATGCCGCGCGAACCTGTTTTGAAATACGCTTTTTTTGAAGCCAAATATGATGAAATTAATAATAATAGTATTAAGAAAATTGAATGAGCAGTTTCACCATGTCTCACTTCGACCATTTAAACCCTCAGGCTTTCCCATCTCGTTTTCAAGACCACTAATAAAAACAAAAATAGAGCTTGGATAAAATAGAAAAAGTATTCCGACTACGAATCTTTTTCCATTTATCTTTCTAGATTCAAAGCTGAATGTGTACATGAACACCATAGAACATGGCCTACGAAAAGATGTTAAGAAATTTTAGCAATCCATTCATAATCGTAAAGATAGCAATAGTATTCCAGATAATATCAAATACAAACAGGAAGCAACTAACTTATCAGACGAAGCAAGTAATCTGTTTTCAATCTTCTTTAAATCCGTATTTGAATCATCTAACTTAGATTCAGAGAAGTTTACACCTGATAGTAATTCTTTAACAGAACCAAACAATTCAAGTGATTTATTTATTTCTACAATATATTTCGCTGTTGATATGGTAAAAAAAGAACTTGGAAATGTAGATGTTTGCAAGGGATCTGGACCGGATGGCATTCCTCCTTTCTTCCTTAAATATACAGCGGACACAATCTGTGTTCCTCTGACGATTCTTTACAATAAGTGCATTCAAGATGGTGTCTTTCCTGCTATTTGGAAAACAGCCAATATCACGCCTATTCATAAAGAGGGATCCAAGAACAACGTACAGAATTATCGGCCAATCTCATTACTATCCGTATTGTCAAAGGTATTTGAAAGATTAGTACATAATGTTATTTATCCTGTCCTTCACAATATAATCATACCCGAACAACACGGATTTGTTAAAAAACGATTTACAGTAAGTAATCTCCTCGTTGGTACTACATACTTATTAGAACATATGGATAAGGGAATACAGGTTGATTCTGTGTATACTGATTTCTGTAAGGCCTTCGATAAAGTAGATCTCTATATATTACTCAAGAAAATCGCTTTTAATGAGATTCGTGGTGATTTGCTCAGATGGTTTCATTCTTACGTTACAAATAGAACTCAGAGAGTTGTCGTTAACGGCTATTCATCTAGCTTAGTTACTGTCACATCCGGTGTACCACAAGGCTCTATTCTCGCTCCCTTGCTGTTCATCTTATTTATCAACTAGCTGTTCCCCGCGTCTTCGCTCGCGTGTTAGGGTTTTTATGTTTTTGCGCGGAACCCTAACTCTTTTTCTAAAATAAAAGTAGCCTAAGTTACTCCTTATGAAATCAGCTATCTACCAGTGAAAGTCCCGTCAAAATCGGTCCAGCCGTTTCGGAGATTAGCCGGAACAAACAGACTGACAAGCAAAAATTTAAAAAAGTGTATTTTTGTTATAAGTACCGTTTATACTTTCATATGCATATAGTAAAACGCTGTAATTTTGACATTACAAACAGACACTTCAATTTTATTTATTTGTATAGATGACATCAACAATTGCTTTCATCACAGCCATTACCTACTTTACGCTGACGACCGAAAGGTATACCTGCCAGTCTTAAGCCCTGATGACCGCTTTAAGTTACAAAGTGATCTTTATCGCTTATAGTTGTACTGTACTAAAATAAACTACAGCTTAATGTTAATAAATGTAAATCAATAACATTTACAAAGAAGCGCAATCTTATAAATAATACCTATAATATTAATAATACAGAGTTATGCAAGGTGGATCCAATTAAAGATCTAGGAGTTATACTAGACGCAAAACTTGATTTTAACAATCACATTAACTATATTACCAACAAAGCATTTTGTATATTTGGTTTTATTATTCGCTCTTGTAGTGAATACGTTCGACCCATTTCATATATCTACTTGTTTAATTCTCTGATCAGACCGATATTGGAGTACATCTCTATCATTTGGAACCCATTCTATGAGAAATACAATCTTCAGTTAGAGCGTATCCATCATCATTCCATATAAATTCTTAAAAACCGTTACCTATAGATGCTATCACAGCTCGTATTCAAGTTACATTAATTTATTAGACAAATTTTCGCTCCTACGTCTTTACAAAAGAAGAGTACTTATAAATAATTTATATTTCTATAAACTATGTCATAATGATATCGATTGTATTCAACTCACAAATGAAATATTCTATCGTGTTCCAAGTGGTTCACAATGTATTCGAGAGAAATACTCACATAAACTATTTATGACAAAAATCTGTCGTACTAACGCTGGTCTTCGTTCCCCATTAAGACGCATAGTGTAATCATATAATGATTACATTAGCGATATTGATATTTTACTGCCTCATATTTGTGCTTTAAAAAAATATATTAAGAATAAATTACAGGTATTACAAATTTAAAATTTGATTTGTGCAAGATTCTTTTATACTGTTTAATACATATGTTTTTTTGTGATAGTAACTTTTTCTCTTCAACTCGTTACTTATTGTTTATACTAATATGTGGTATACGGTTTTGAATGTTTTTTTTTATATATAGGATAGGGTGACAAACGAGCACACAGTCCACCTGATGGTAATTGGTTACTGTGACCCATAGACATCTACATCTATCCTCAATAAAGACTCAAGATGCAGATGCATTGTCGCCCGTGGGGACTAAGATGGAATGCCTCTTTGCCAGTAAAAAGGGTCTCCGGTTCTCTACACTCACCATACGAAACACAGCAGCGTTAAGCTGCTATTTTACGCTGGTTTTCTGTGAGAGCGTGGTCCTTCCCCGGTCGAGCCGACCCATTCGTGCTACAACTATACTACTAATATCGCTGCAGCATGGCTTTACCACGTAATAAAAAAATGTACATATATTATACTCTTTTTTGATAATACTTCTATATTTTTTCCTTTTTTTCCTTTGTATATTTTTTGTTTGTATATCTTAATAAATAAAATAATACATAATTCTCGAAATCAATCCTTATATTTCTATAATGTAGTTGTTTTGTCGAGACAATGGTTTTTATTTACACTGTTAACAGTCTGGAGTGAATTCAGAGTACAACTCATCACATCACCTATGAAAGGGCAGAATAACTTCTGCCAGTCCTTCAAGCCACATTGTTTCTGTGTTGTGACTGCGGTACGAATATGTCGCCTTGATTGGAGAAGGACTGCACTTGCACAGAATCCCAGAGTGACGAGAATCGAAGATCTATAAGCAAAAACAGCTAAAAACTGACCAAATAAACCACGCGGTCATTGTTCTGAACGCAAAAGTAATAACATAATATGTATGGTAATGGTAATGATTGTAGATTAACACTTGTTTTGTTTGTTTCCAGGTTTCTGAGTATATGTCATGTTTGGGTCCATTGGCACCAGTCTCTGGGTCGGCTGCTGCCCGAAAGTGGCGTGCTCAACTTCGCACTCAGCTACCACCACACGATGTGGCCCCCGCTGCTCGCCATCATGCCACCGATCAAGAGAAGTCTGAGCACACGGTATGTTTAAATATAACTATTTTCCATTACCTGATGCAATATGAGATTCAGAGCGGCAAGGGGAGCAAGTAACAAAAGTGTGAAATGTCTAGAATTTCTATCACCAATTTGTTTGCTGATTTAAGTGATTATGGCAAGTCTTCCCTTTGTGAGAAATTCCACCAATTGGGCGAAAGACCCATGTCCAACATTGATTTATTTTTTGGGCTGATAAAACAAGGTGACTGTTTTAACAGAAGTCCTCTTTATATGCTACATAAGATAGAGGATGTATGGCTCCTAAACCACAATCGTTTGTTTTTCGTTTTACATAAATCAATTTTGCCTTAGGTAATATTTAGGGTTATTTTTGAAAGAGTAGCCAAATTTTAAACTTTTCAAATATATATAAATAACAACATACCGATATTGCATTTTTATTTCGAGTAAATAAAGCTTCTATTTTTATTTGAAATTATTCCAAATTGAATGTGATTTATGCGCAACGACAATTATGCTTACTTATCGACCCTTACGAATGTGTGCGCGCGTAGTAAAATCAGTAATAATGTATTACCACACATTTTGAATTTAAAAGATAAAAAGGACAAAATGTTTTAGATTTTTTAGTTAATTTTTCTTCACAATTTTCCTATATTGCTTATTCTGAACCTTCTTTGCAAATTTGGCTGGTTATTACAATATATATGCTTTAATAGTCTCGTATTTGTATTGTGAACCAAAAATATCTGGAAACATTTTTATTCTACGTCAACACCTTTCTGACAACACCATCAAGATCGTTGCTGTCTGAAAGGTTCTTGACAACGGAATGAAACTTTCCGTCCTCCAATTCAAATTACTATTTGTACAACATAAATTCTTTATTTTCATTCATCATTCGTTATCATATCAGTCATTGCGTTTTAAACATTGCGTTCGTTGTCGACCGTTTCTTAAAAGAAATTTGCTTTCATCAATTAATGATTAACGTGATGCCACATCTACATGCTTGGATCTAAAGTTGAATCTACTACATATTTTATTTAACTTTGTCTTGTCTAGAACTTACTCGTCGTAAAATGATGATTGATATCATTGAACATTATTGATCAGACACATTGTTCTAGTCTGGTTTAAGACTGGCCCACACATTGGTGTATCGGCTACAATGCAAATATTAGTGTAAATATGGTAATTGTGTGGTCGCGGAATTAAATTTTGTTACTGCGAAATCCGTGCCGTGTAGTGGCGGTTAAGAATATCCACTACCCCATATCTTCCCGTGGGTGTCGTAAAAGGCGACAAAGGGAAACAGGCAGGAGATGGGCAGCAGCATCTTCCTGGTAACGACAAAATACAATAAAAAACTGCGGTTGCCAACCCGCTCGCCAAGCGTGGCAACTATGGCAATATACCCCCCATAATGAAAGATACGAAGAGACGGCCCCCAGTCCCCGGCGGCCCCGCTATTCCTGGCTACGGTGGCGACCATGGTAACGGCGGGGCAGGGGGTGCTAAGAATCTCCGGTGGAGGTTCGGTTGCCACCTACAACGACTCGACCTGGCAACATACAACGCACGCACCCTGAGGACTGACGAGAAGATTATGGAGCTGGAAGAAGAGATAGACAAGTTACGCTGGCATATTATAGGATTATCCGAAGTCCGAAGAGAGGGGGAGGACACGGTAATCCTCGAATCCGGCAACTTGCTCTATCACCGGGAGGGCGACCATCTGTCCCAAGGAGGTGTCGGATTTATCGTCCACAAGTCTCTCGTTAACAACGTTGTAAAGATTGAGAGTGTGTCGACGAGGGTTGCGTACCTTATACTCAGAATCACCAAACGGTATTCGCTGAAGGTCATACAGGTTTACGCACCAACCTCGGCACACCCCGATCAGGAGGTGGAGGAAATGTATGAGGATATCTCTAGAGCCATGCATTCCTCCAAAACCCAATATACGGTGTTAATGGGAGACTTCAATGCAAAACTAGGCACAAGAGAGAACGGTGAGCTGAAAGTGGGGAAATTTGGAATAGGGCAACGGAACCCAAGGGGCCAGCAGTTGGCCGACTTCATGGAGAAAGAGGGACTCTTTATGATGAACTCTTTCTTCCAGAAGCGGCCCCACAGGAAGTGGACCTGCAGGGCTATTCACAATCGTCTCGGAAAGCGAAATCGACTCGGATTCGATAACTTCTCGCACCGAAACCTATAAACGCTATTAACATTTAACGTTCAGATAAAGGTCACTTAGATACATCCTATAACTATTGTATCGTCATTTAGTTACATGCATTTACGAATTTTGTAGATAAATAGGCTTTTGTAATTTTTTAGAGTAACGCCTGCACAAAAACATAATGCAATATTTTGGAGTTAGCCATTGATATCGAATATAAAAAATATATAATTTAACTATATAATAAATAACAAAAAACTGAGATATGTCTCGTTTCTGTCGGGTCTGGGTTTTTTTCTATGGGGCGTTCTTTGACGTTTGTTTTCGATAATTGCGACAGTTTGCATCGGAAACTTTACGAGAGCTCTGAGGCTGGCGAAAACTTTTCGAATATTGATGATTAGAAGAGATAAATAAACCCTTTTAATTATAAGGTAGGTAACAAAAATTAATTACAATTATCTATAAGACGTATTTTCATATAATTACTTCAATATTTGCACTTAATCGTAAAGCTGAATTTTTGTGAAAGGTGTGTTTTTATAAGTTTTTTATCACAAATATATATATATGCTGCTTTGTGAAAGGAGACGTATCTCAGTTTTTTTGTTATTTATTATATAGTTAAATTATATATTTTTTATATTCGATATCAATGGCTAACACCAAAATATTGCATTATATTTTTGTTTAGGCGTTACTCTAAAAAAATACAAAAGCCTATTTATCTACAAAATTCGTAAATGCATGTAACTAAATGACGATACAATAGTTATGGGATGTATCTAAGTGACCTTTATCCGAACGTTAAATGTGAATAGCGTTTATTGGTTTCGGTGCGAGAAGTTATCGAATCCGAGTCGAATTCGCTTTCCGAGACGATTGTGAATAGCCCGGCTGGTCGAGCCCCGACGGTTCGACAAAAAATGAGATTGACTTCATTATGACGACCAGACGACAACTGTTCAGTGATGTCTCAGTGATCGCGAGGGTGAAAACCGGCAGCGATCACCGAATGGTTAGAGGCACACTGAACCTAAACGTTAAGTTGGAGAGGTCTCGTCTAATGAAGTCAACGCTCCGTCCCCCTCGTGCTCTAATCCAAAGTCCCGAAACCTTTCAGCTCGAGTTGCAAAACCGTTTTCAGTCCCTAGAAGACTGCAATGAAGTGGACGATTTGAATGACAAGCTCGTGGAAACTGTCCATGCGGTCGGAGCTAAGTTCTGCAAGACCCGCCGCAGAAGAACACAAAAACTCTCCGATCACACTCTTAATCTCATGGCTGTTAGACGGGAGATGAAGCTACATTCTTCAACAGATTTGACAGCTTACAGGCAACTGAACAGACAGATCTCCAAATGCATGCGGCGGGACTTACGCAACTTCAATACAGCTCGTATTGAAGAAGCGATCGAGCGGAACCAAGGCTCCAAAGTCTTTGCCAGAGATCTGTCTGCCAGAAAGAGCCAACTGTCAAAGCTGAAGACCGAATGTGGCAGCATCGTTTCCGGGGCACCTGAGATTTTGAGTGAGATTGAGAGGTTCTATGGGCAGCTGTACACGTCATCGTTGGAGCCACACGCAAGTGTGAGTAACGATCCAAGAGCGAGTCTTATCCGACATTATTCCGATGATATCCCGGACGTCAGTCTGAGCGAGATTAGAATGGCTCTCCAGCACCTTAAATACGGCAAGGCCCCAGGCCAGGATGGAATTACAGCGGAGCTTCTGAAAGCGGGTGGAAAACCGGTACTTGAAGTCCTTCAGAAGCTCTTTAATTCCGTCCTCCATGGTGGCATTACACCGGAGGCGTGGAGCAGAAGTGCGGTGGTCTTGTTCTTCAAGAAAGGCGACAACGCTCTCTTGAAGAACTACAGACCGATTTCCCTTCTGAGCCGCGTCTACGTGCTGTTTTCGAGAGTCATTACGAATCGTCTCGCGCGCAGACTTGACGACTTCCAGCCTCCCGAACAAGCCGGTTTCCGAAAAGGCTTTAGCACCATAGACCACATACATACCCTTCGGCAAATTGTACAGAAGTCCGAGGAGTACAATTTGCCACTATGTCTGGCGTATGTGGACTATGAGAAAGCCTTTGATTCCGTCGAAATTTGGGCGGTGCTACAGTCCCTTCAGCGATGCCAAGTTGACTGTCGGTATATCGAAGTGTTGAAGTGCTTGTACAGTAGGGCTACGATGGCTATCCGAGTACAGAACCAGAGTACGAAACCTATCCAATTGCAGAGAGGTGTAAGACAGGGTGACGTCATATCCCCGAAACTCTTCACCGCTGCATTGGAAGATGTTTTCAAGCTTCTGGACTGGAAAGGATACGGTATCAACATCAATGGCGAGTACATCACTCACCTTCGATTTGCCGACGATATAGTCCTTATGGCAGAATCGCTGGAGGACCTAAGCACTATGCTCAATGACCTCAATAGTGTTTCCCAACGGATAGGTCTTAAGATGAACATGGACAAAACAAAGATCATGTTTAATGTCCATGTCACACCTATGCCGGTAGTTGTTGGGAACACTAAGCTCGAAGTTGTTGACGAGTATGTTTACCTGGGACAAATAGTCCGACTAGGTAAGTCCAACTTCGACCGAGAGGTCAATCGACGGATTCAACTCGGTTGGGCAGCGTTCGGGAAATTACGGCACATCTTCTCGTCAGGTATACCTCAAAACTTGAAAACGAGACTGTACACCCAGTGCGTGTTGCCAGTGATGACATACGGAACTGAGACGTGGTCCTTCACTGCTGGCCGGATGAGGAAGCTCAAGGTCGCTCAGCGAGCTATGGAGAGGGCTATGCTCGGAGTTTCTCTGCGTGATAAACTCAGAAATGAGGATATCCGCAGTAGAACCAGAGTGACCGACATAGCCCAACGGATTAGTAAGCTGAAGTGGCAATGGGCCGGCCATATAGCTCGAAGAACCGACAACCGATGGGGAAGAAAGGTTCTCGAGTGGCAGCCTCGTACCGGCAGGCGAAGTGTAGGGCGCCCCCCACTAGATGGAGTGACGACCTGGTAAGATTTGCAGGAAGTCGATGGATGCAGGTGGCTCAGGACCGTGCTTTGTGGCATTCTTTGGGGGAGGCCTATGTTCAGCAGTGGACTTGTGAAGGGCTGTAATGATGATGATGATGACTGCGAAATCGTTATTTCAACATAATATTATGTGTTTCCGAATACAACACAAAAGTTTGAGTAATTTTTGGAAGAGCAAACAATTTTTATTCATACTCAGTTATTCGTTTTAAAAGCCCAGCCCTTTAGTTTTTATTAACAGATATGTTCAAGACAAACTTATAATATATTTCATTTGTATGTTAAGTGGTGACGTAAGGAAATTTAACCCTCAAATTTAGTCTTTTGACTGTCGTAAATAGATGACCAAGAGAAATATTTAGACGGTTTGGTAGTTTAGTGGCAGCAAATGGCTGGGGAATTGGGAGTCCGATTCTTGTAAGGGACAAATTTTTTTATGATCTACAAATAATTGTTCAGGGTGTGGTTCAAAATACGATTATAATAAGCGACACTAACACTGGCCAAATATCGCACAATAGGGTTATAATCATTACAGCCCTTCACAAGTCCACTGCTGAACATAGGCCTCCCCCAAGGAATGCCACAAAGCACGGTCCTGAGCCACCTGCACCCATTGACTTCCTGCATGTCTTACCACGTCGTCACTCCATCTAGTGGGGAGACGCCCTACACTTTGCCTGCCGGTACGAGGCTGCCACTCGAGAACCTTTCTTCCCCATCGGTTATCGGTTCTTCGAGCTATATGGCCGGCCCATTGCCACTTCAACTTACTAATCCGTTGGGCTATGTCGGTCACTCTGATTCTATTGCGGATATCCTCATTTCTAAGTTTATCACGTAGAGAAACTCCGAGCATAGCCCTCTCCATAGCTCGCTGAGCGACCTTGAGCTTCCTCATTCGGCCAGCAGTGAAGGACCACGTCTCAGTTCCATAGGTCATCACTGGCAACACCCTCTGGTTGTACAATCTCGTTTTCAAGATTTGAGGTATACTTGACGAGAAGATGTGCCGTAATTTCCCGAACGCTGCCCAACCGAGTTGAATCCGTCGATCGACCTCTCGGTCGAAGTTGAACTTACCTAATCGGACTATTTGTCCCAGGTAAACATACTCGTCAACAACTTCGAGCTTAGTGCTCTCAACAACTACCGGCATAGGTGTGACATGGAGATTAAACATTATCTTTGTTTTGTCCATGTTCATCATAAGACCTATCCGTTGGGAAACATTATTGAGGTCATTGAGTATAGTGCTTAGGTCCTCCAGCGATTCTGCCATAAGGACTATATCGTCGGCAAATCGAAGCTGAGTGATGTACTCGCCATTGATGTTAATACCGTATCCTTTTCAGTCCAGTAGCTTGAAAACGTCTTCCAATGCAGCGGTGAAGAGTTTCCGGGATATAACATCACCCTGTCTTACAACTCTCTACAGTTGGATAGGTTTCGTACTCTGATTCTGTACTCGGATAGCCATCGTAGCGCTACTGTACAATCACTTCAGCACTTCGATATACCGACAGTCAACTTGGCACCGCTGAAGGGACTGTAGCACCGCCCAAATTTCGACGGAATCAAAATCTTTCTCATAGTCCACATACGCAAGGCAAAGTGGCAGATTGTACTCTTCTGTCTTCTGTACAATTTGCCGAAGGGTGTGTATGTGGTCCATAGTACTAAACCCTTTTCGGAAACCGGCTTGTTCGGGAGGCTGGAAGTCGTCGAGTTTGTGTGCGAGACGATTCGTAATGACTCTCGAAAACAGAACGTAGACGCGGTTCAGAAGGGAAATCGGTCTGTAGTTCTTCAAGAGAGTGTTATCGCCTTTCTTGAAGAACAAGACCACCGCACTTCTGCTCCACGCCTCCGGAGTAGGGCCACCATGGAGGACGGAATTAAAGAGCTTCTGAAGGACTTCAAGTACCGGTTTTCCACCCGCTTTCAGAAGCTCCGCTGTAATTCCATCCTCACCTGGGGCCTTGCCGTTTTTAAGGTGCTGGAGAGCCATTGTAATCTCGCTCAGACTGATGTCCGGGATATCTTCGGAATAGTGTCGGATAAGACTCGCTCTTGGATCGTTACTCACACTTGCGTGTGGCTCCAACGATTACGTGTACAGCTGCCCATAGAACCTCTCAATCTCACTCAAAATCTCAGGTGTCCCGGAAACGATGCTGCCATACTCGGTCTTCAGCTTTGACAGTTGGCTCTTTCTGGCAGACAGATCTCTGGCAAAGAATTTGGAGCCTTGGTTCCGCTCGATGGCTTCTTCAATACAAGCTGTATTGAAGATGCGTTAGTCCCGGCGCATGTATTTGGAGTTCTGTCTATTCAGTTGCCTGTATGCTGTCAAATCTGTTGGAGATTGCAGCTTCATTTCCCGTCTAAAAGCCATGAGATTAAGAGAGTGATCAGAGAGTTTTTGTGTTCTGCTGCAGCGGGTCTTGCAGAACTTAGCTCCGACCGCATGGACAGTTTCCACGAGCTTATCATTCATATCGTCCACTTCATTGCAGTCTTCTAGGCACTGAAAACGGTTTTGTAACTCGAACTGAAAGGTTTCAGGATTTTGGATTAGAGCACAAGGTAGACGGAGCGTTGACTTCATTAGACGAGACCTCTCCAACTTAACCTTTAAGATCAGTGTGCGTCTAACCATTCGGTGATCGCTGCCGGTGTTTTCACCCTCGCGATCACTGAGACATCACTGAACAGTTGTCGTCTGGTCGTCATAATGAAGTCAATCTCATTTTTGTCGAACCGTCGGGGCTCGGCCAGGTCCACTCCCTGTGGGGTCGCTTCTGGAAGAAAGAGTTCATCATAAAGAGTCCCTCTTTCTCCATGAAGTCGGCCAGCTGCTGGCCCCTTGGGTTCCGTTGCCCTATTCCGAATTTCCTCACTTCCAGCTCACCGCTCTCTCTTGTGCACAGTTTTGCGTTGAAGACTCCCATTAACACCGTATAGTGGGTTTTGGAGGAATGCATGGCGCTAGAGATATCCTCATACATTTCCTCCACCTTCTCATCGGGGTGTGCTGAGGTAAGTTCTCAGGTCGAGTCGTCGTAGGTGGCAACCGAACCTCCACCAGTTTCTTAGCACCCCTTGCCCCGCCATTACCATGGTCGCCACCGTAGCCAGGAATAGCTGGGCCGCCGGTGACTGGGAGCCGTCTCTTAGTAACTTTACTCATCGGAGGGTACATTGCCATAGTTGCCACGCTTGGCGAGCGGGTTGGTAACCGCAGTTTTTTATTGTAATATTGCTGTTATCAGGAAGAAGCTGCTGCCCATCTCCTGCCTGTTGCCCACTGTCGCCTCTTACGACACCCACAGAAAGATATGGGGTAGTGGAAATTCTTAACCGCCACTACACGGCAACCGCCACTGCACAATGGGGTAAAATCTTATAAATAAATAAAATAACGTTTATTTTAATAATTCGATTTTGTTTTACAGGAATACATCACGCGTATTAAAGACCATGTTGTCGGTATGGGTAACGTGGTCAGAGTGGGCCCTTTACAAAATGGCGAAGTGTATTCAGTAGAAAATAGTAAAGCTCACACATCTACCAAGTCGTATGCACTACCTTTAAAAATATCCAATATTTCGAGAGGAGTTAAGTATAACATAGTTCCAAAGAATGCTTCTGACAAGAAATTAGTTTTGGACTCCCAGGGAAATATAGTAAGCAGTGCTGCTAATCTGCCTGATTACAAATCCAGTCCAATTCTTAGTAGGATTGTAAAAGACAAACTTCATGTTATGCGCATAGAATCAGATAGGATCAAGAGCGCGGTAGAACATGGTCCAGTATATGATAAATTGCTTAAAAATTTGAACGAATTAAACATGCCAGTCTCTAATGACGTTTACCTACAACCTATCAAGCTTTTCCGTGATGAGTATAACAAGAATCCACAGTTTAGAGATGAGATCAACGAGTTTGCCAGTAAAGCGTTGGGAGCTCAAATAATGGCAGATTTATGGCCGGTAAGCAACAATAACGTAATAGCTACTGCAAAGTTACTTGATAGCAGGATACAGAAAGGGACCATTTTTGCACCAAATGGTGAGATATGGAGTTGGAAACATGAGCCAATCACTCCAGAACTGAGTGGCACTATATGTTCTACTAAGATTAATCCACAGTTTTCAACTTCGTCAAAACCGATGAACCAGGTTGAGCCTCAACAAACTGCGCCATTAAGGGAATATCTCAGAACACACTCTGAAGAAGACTTGCCTCCACCACCAATGCCTAACTATAGTACATACCCTGGAGCATTACCACAATCAACTACACTTGTTGATTGGAACCCGCCTGAAAGCCAATCACTGGAAGATTCTGGCCATACCATTATGCATCCCGTAAGCAACTATGCTGAGCAAATTGATCCAATACTTACACAGTTTGCTGACATGTCTTTAAGTCCTGCAGAAATGGAATTTAACAGAAAATTATACAATGAAGGAGTACCATGCCAACGTTGTTGCAAACCTATGTTTGCTGGTGAAGTAGCTGTGAAAGCCGAGAGAGCAGGACAAGAAGCAATTTGGCATCCACAATGCTTCACTTGCTGCAAATGTGGAGAATTGTTGGCAGACCTTGTGTACTTTTATTACAAAGGTGAAATCTACTGTGCCAGAGACTTGGCCAATGTTCTCGAGATACCGCGTTGCGCTGGTTGCGATGAACTGATATTTACAAGGCCATATACAGCAGCAGAGGGCAGAGCATTCCATGTGCAACATTTTTGTTGCTATCACTGTGATGCACCGTTGGGTGGCAAAAAGTATGTTCCAGATGATAAAACGGGCCTCCCAATTTGTTTGTCCTGTTACGATCAATATTACGCTGAGCGTTGTCGTGCTTGTAGTGGAGTTATTGGTCCAGAGCAGCAAGGTGTTTCCTGGAGCAACATGCATTGGCATGCAGACTGCTTTATTTGTTCTGGAAGGATGTGTGGTAAAAGCCTCCTAAGTGGCCGGTTTGTTGTGAAACAAGAAATGCCTTTTTGTAGTGTTCCCTGTGTTCAGAGTAGAATTAAGTAAAAATATATTCTTCATTATTTAAATATTTAATGACTTTGATAAAATTATTTTTTATATGATATTCTATATTGGTAAATCGTTTTATATATTGTTGATGTTGTGGCTGACAAAATCTACATTCTTGTGCCATTGAATATGGCTTAGTTTTTTATATAAACTTTTGTAATATAACATATTAAGTACAATATGTATGGAGAATATAATATTTTTATATTATACTACCAAGTTGTATGTTTACTGTTATATAATTATATAAAGTATTTTTAAATATTAAATACATATATTAAATTTGAAGGGACCAAGTCGGTGTTCAAATATGAGACTAAATTGTGTTATCTATATCTATGATACTGTTTTGTATTTTGAAATATTCGTATATATGATACATTATCCAGGCCATGACAAATACGACAATATAATAATTGCAGTGGTTCACTTGAAACCTATATATGTAAATGAAATACTTTTGTATATTGGTTTGGTAGGGTGGATGAAACTGTTTTTATTTTAAAACAATAAATTACAATAGGAATTTAATAGCTTTTAATTATTATGTAGGTAATATAAATATTTATACTTAGCTATAGTATATTAGTAAAAAATAAATATAAATTACATAGACTAACTGAAAGTTTGTATTCAAATATTTAATAAGCAGTGAGTAGCGATTAACTGGGAGTTGTCGTCGTTAGTTGAAAATCGACCAAAATTACGTCATGTTGAAGGTACCTAGTTCAATAAAAATATTTAGTTTTTCATATGTTATATATTTTGTGATCATTGTATTTACACACACAAACGCGCGCAGCGAAAAAATATAATGTGAGATTTATACATGAAATTAGGTATTAGTAAGACAAAATCAATGTCAGTGATACTATTAGGGTGATATGACAATTTTGGTACAAAAAAATGTGCCATTACAATTAAAATATTTGTATTTTTAGTAAATATTCCATATTTGTATAATAAAGATTCAATAGTGAAACTTGTTTTCTTTATACATCAAATAACCAACAATGTTGAGAATGGCATGTGACGTAAGCGAATCCACTGCTCCATATCATCCCGTGGGTGTTGTAAGAGGCGACAGAGGGAAATGAAACAGGAGGCGGTCATCTTCCTCATACAACAACTTAAACCCTATGTACAGATCATAGACATATTGAAACCAACAAGGAAGTAGCTCCGTTCTTAAATCTGTACAACTTAAAGGCCCTGGCAATTTTAGGCCTACATAAATTCAGTCGGCATTTGTGTCAAGTATTTGAAAAGGTAATTCTAAACCAAATGCTTTCCATATTTTACATAAATTATTTCACTAGCCTCAGTTTCGATTTACCAACGGGCGCTCCATAACTGATGCAGGGTGTGTTTAATTTAGCACAGTTATAGCGCTTGAGAGAATTCATCAAATGCGATATCGCTTTTGTGATGTATCCAAAGCATTGATTGCGTAAACCGCTAAACATAAATGAAACTAATTTAACGGATTTTAACTTTAATTCCCGACGTTTCGGGTGCTTTACAGCATCCATTGTCCCGGGGGAACTGGCGTGTTTGACGTCCCGATGTCTGGCTTTGAGTTTTTGAATATTAACCTTTTCGCTGTCCCGTGCACTACATATAGGTCATTGCTATTGTCTTACTATTGTCTCTGAAAACCGGACAGTCAAAGTGTTAAGAGCTTTGTTACATTTCGGCGTTACGCTAATTTAAATATTTTACGCGAGCGATACTTACATACCCACAGCATATCTGTTTACAGAGATTGTTAGCGAAGCGCAGCTCAGTTCCCGCCACAGCCGTTGGTTATTTTTTTACTGCCCAGAAATACTTGAGCACCCAGAAATCCTTTCAGTTGAGTAAGGTTAGAAGGTTGTGATGTCCCATGGCCTTCGCGCATCGGACACGGGGGTGTCCGTAGCACGGGTGAAGCTGAAGGCCGCGGGGAAATGGCGCCATGTGTTGTGGTGCGGATATAAGCCAAGATATCCCTACATACTGGCTTTAATATAAGATTTTATACTCACGGTCAGTTTTATGATGTACGTCAGCTCAACTGATTAGTTTAACTGACCGTGTACATAAGCTGCACTAAAAGTATCGGGAATGGAATATTTCCACTGTTCCGGTCATATTAAAATCTTTTTAATTGAAAACTCCTTGGTTTTCAAAATCGAATACCATTTGTTTATTTAAAAAAAGATTCTCGGTCTTGTCACAAGGTTTTGTCAAACTTGTTTAGTCGTTGAGAAAATGGAATTGATTCGAGAAAATTCAAGAGCGATGATTTATGACTTTCGAAGTGGTTTAACACAAAAACAGTGTGTTGACCGGATGATTTCTGAATTTGGTGATGAAGCCCCATCCAAAACCACAATTTATCGCTGGTTTGCTGAATTTCAACGTGGACCTGTCAAGCTCAGTGATGATCTCCGTCAAGGTCGTCCAAAAACTGCAGTCACCCAAGAAAACGTTGATGCTGTGCGTAAGCTGATTGAGGAAGATCGACATGTGACATACCGCGAAATTCAGGCAATTTTAGACATTGGCATGAGTCAAATACAAATAATCTTGCATGAAAAATTAGGTGTAAAAAAGTTGTTTTCCCGATGGATACCGCATTCGCTCTGTGAAGAGCAAAAAGCGGCTCGCGTTACTTGGTGCGTCAGAACTCTCGAAAGATTCCACGCAGGATCCTCAAATGCTGTATACTTACAACATCGGATCAGGTGACGAATCCTGGATATACGCGTACGAACCCGAAACAAAAAACCAGTCACGAGTTTGGGTGTTCGAAAATGAGTTAAAGCCAACAAAAATTGTTCGTTCACGGAGTTTTGAAAAAAAAATGTTGGCCACGTTTGTCTCCAAAACCGGCCATGTTACGACTATTCCTCTTGAGGGACAAAGAACTGTTAATGCAGAATGGTATGCTAGCATTTGTTTGCCACAGGTCGTTTCTGAACTCCGTAAAGAGAACTGCAACTGCCGCATCATCCTCCATCACGACAATGCGAGTTCTCACACCGCACACAGAACAAAAGAGTTTTTAGAACAAGAAAACATAGAATTATTAGACCATCCGCCGTACAGCCCTGACCTAAGCCCTAATGATTTCTATACTTTCCCTAAAATAAAGAATAAATTGCGTGGACAGAGATTTTCATTACCTGAAGAAGCTGTGGACGCCTACAAAACGGCCATTTTGGAGACCCCAACTTCCGAATGGAATGGTTGCTTCAATGATTGGTTCCAACGTATGGAAAAGCAATAAATACATTTTTAAATAGTAATGTTGTATCACTTCCTTGATTCCCGAAATTTTCAGTGCCGCCCTCGTACTAAGCTCAGATCGTAGGGAAATATATAAGTAGTACTTTCATTTAATTCATTAAAAAAAAAGAGATTATTTTGGTTTAAATATTACTTATATATAATATATATCTCAATATATCAACGCATGCGTTAGGTACACAAAAACAGATACCTACACAAACTTGCTGTTAGCAACTAAATTAGCGTACTCACTGTGCATGCACCATATATAGGGCTTTTGGAGATACACATATGGGATATGACCCCAAACAAGTTTAAGGCTTGCCAAATAGAGCATTAAAACATTTTTGTCTTCATACATATACATGTGTGATCAATGAGATAATGGTTACTACAGTGGGAGTTTTTAATCAGAGTTACCTATATAAAAATAAAATGAATGTTTAATTACAAATTAAAATCCTGAATGCTCAGTAGACACTTGAATAAAATTTCATGGTCTTCTAGCAGACTTCTCAAATAGATGCAAGTCTTTGTAAATCAATAGTACATTTATAACAGAAATTGACATCAGATCCCCTACAATTTTTTGTACCAAAAGCATGTCCTGCATATAAGCGGATTATGACTCGCATGGTGATCCGCTCCTGCTATATCAATTCCTTTTTTTGGCAAAGTTGTCTATCTACAACACTATTTTAATAATCGAAGTGCACCCGCAGGGCATGAATTCAGTAAAAAAACTAATTATTGCTAAATTCATTTATTCATAAATACATATTGTTGTTGACATACCACATAAAACACCTTATAATTCACACTTAGATTCCCAAGATACAAGCTGTGCTTGTTAATTTTAGTAAATTGTAACTATTGTTTTGTTTGCTTTACAAATAAATAAAATAATCAAATACGAATACCCACCACTGCCATGCTTCTATGCTGTTTTTATTTTCCATTATTATTTATAAACTATACAATTGCACTTAACATTATTATCAGATATCCAGCAACAAATTTAACAAACAATACATAAATGAAAAACATATAGACCCTGATGCTAGCCTGCTTCTTCTGCATATTGTTCTTGAATAAATAATTAAAATTGGTCCAGTTTCGAAGGAGGAAACAGGGGAATATCTAATAATAATATCTAATCTGAAACAGTGCGACAGCATAAGGTCTGTTAAAAACCTTTTTATTGCTGTTTTGCTGCTTGTATATTCACTTAATGGTAAGGATACCTAACTACGGAGATGTTCAGTCTGCTAGATTATAATTTATGAAAAATACCCAAATTTATTTATAATAGCAAACCGGTTTAATGCAATTTTCGTGTAATATGTGTATAATATTAGCTCCAGCCAAAATAAGACAAGTCAAGTTTGGAAGTTCATTACTTACAGTTGTATATACATAAATAATAAACAAGTAGGGTGCAAATAAACAAAAAAAAATTTCATACCAAATATTTACTCAATAAATATTTTTGACATAGGTCATTACAACATCAGTATTATCAATTAGCACATACAAGTTTTGGAATAAGTTAATAAATATCAAGAAACTTATTAAAATAACATCTGAAATGGTTGGGCTTGGTGGACCTCTGTGAAAACAAAAAACAAATCACTAAATCAGGTAACTAATATCTGAGAGTGAGCACATAGATATATTCAAAGGTAATATAATATAGTTTAATTGTAAATCTGCTCTTTTAATTGAATCCAGTATTTTATCTTTTTACCTCTTTGTTGTAGTTAGAAACGGATAACACAATTTCTACTTATATAGAACATATTTCAAAAATAGTAATTACAATTGCATTTTATTTATTTTAACAAATCAATATATAATGATTATAAGCCTATCATCGTACAAAATCTGAGTAGTTAATTTAGTTATGTTAAATGATTTCTACTATAATAAAGAAAAAGTTTATAGCAAATGTTTTATTTGTTTAAAAAAATTAAATTTCCAATTTTAAATGTAATTGTTCAAGCAGATACTTTTAAACTTCCAAGATCACTCTTAAGTTTATTGAGATTTTCCTGTATAGCTTCTTGTTTGTTTTCTAATGCTGATATATGTCCGTCTGTCCTTTTGATTTCTTTATTTATATATTCCATTCGCTTAGCAACATTCTGCTTTGCTTCTTCGAAGTCTTGCTTGACTAATACAGGCCCAATGAGTTTATATACCTCTGCATCTTTCTTTAGCAACAGGAGTTCTTCTTTTACGGCTTTGTTTTCATTTAATTGACTATCTAATTGTTGTTTCAGTGCTACGGCCTTATGATATTCTTTTTGAACACCATTAAATATCTCTAATTCTTTTTGCATTTTCTTCTGTATTTCTTCAGTCATTTTTCAGTAAATAATTAGTCTTCGTTATTAATTTCAATTTCTAAATTAATTTAATATTTTGCACCCTAGATTCATAGAACACTCACAAATAATAATCAAATTATTCTTGTAGGTTTAGGTTTTAGGTTATGTTTTTCTTTTTATGACAAGCCGAAACGGAAGGCCAAAGTAACGAAAAGATAGATCTTTAGGCGTTCTCAAATAATTCTTCAATAATATTGTTCTGGTTGCTATAATAATTATTAGATACAATATATTAAATAGACTTTACATAATTCGAAACTATATTCAATACGTATTACATAAACCAACATAAATTATCACACCGGAAGGGTAAGCACAAAGAAAGAGAATAGTAACTGTCCTATACAGGAAGCAGAATACTACTCTGAAAAATATCGATATATTGAAATATTGATATTTTCCATAGATATAGCATACATTAGCCCAAACAAGCCGGTTTCCGAAAAGGCTTTAGTACCATAGACCACATACACACCCTTCAGCAAATTGTACAGAAGACAGAAGAGTTTAAACTGCCAGTTTGCCTTGCATATGTGGACTATGAGAAAGCCTTTGATTCCGTCGAAATTTGGGCGGTGCTGCAGTCCCTTCAGCAGTGCCAAGTTGACTGTCGGTATATCGAAGTGCTGAAGTGTTTGTACAGTAGGGCTACGATGGTTATCCGAGTACAGAATCAGAGTACGAAATCTATCCAACTGCTGAGAGGTGTAAGACAGGGTGACGTTATATCCCCAAAACTCTTCACCGCTGCATTGGAAGACGTTTTCAAGCCACTGGACTGGAAAGGATGCGGTATTAACATCAATGGCGAGTACATTACTCAACTTCGATTTGCCGACGATATATTCCTTATGGCAGAATCGCTGGAGGACCTAAGCACTATGCTCAATGACTTAAATAGTGTCTCCCAACGGATAGGTCTTAAGATGAACAGTGTATGAACAGTTTAACAGTGGTAGAGCCAAGCGGCAGCTTTTGCTGTCACATGCATGGGCCGGCTCGAACCGGGGTGGTACCACGACCTCACGGAATACCAGCGTGAAGTAGAGGTTTACCTCTGCGTTGCGCTTGGTGAGTGCAGGTGGCCGGAGGCCCAAACCCCTCCCCCCATCAACATGGTAGTGGAATTAAATAAAAGACTACTCCAGGAGGGTACCAGCACCCCTGGAGAATCCCTCTCTGAGCATCTGCGACCAAACTACTCCACTCCTGAGCGTGGGTGCTCAGGCTGGCCCGCGTTTTCGGGGGGGGGGGGGGGCAAAATTCCGCTCGCGACTAATGCTGCTCGGGGCAAGCGGAGCAATACAACCAAGACGACCCCTGTCACGCTATCCGTGAATTTTTGCAACATCAGGGGACTTCATTCCAACCTTAACATTGTCCATTACCATCTAGAGACGGCGAAGCCGGCCTTGCTCTTTTTAACCGAGACTCAGGTGTCCTCTACGGCTGATACTTCATACCTCTCCTACCCCGGGTACAAATTAGAGCACTCCTTTGTGCCCCGGGCTGGAGTTTGCGTATACGTCAGAGAGGACATCTGTTTTCGACGCCTCAGCAGTCTTGAAGGTACGGACCTGTCCATCGTATGGCTGCGCGTAGACAGCGACGACCATCCCCGCGTCTACGGGTGCCTCTATAGGCCCCATAGCGGTAATTCCGACACAGACCGACTCATCGACCACGTCTAAATAGCTGCAGACATCGTGTTCCAACAGGTCCCATCCGCAGAGATCGTGATACTTGGTGATTTTAACGCCTACCACGCTGAATGGCTTGGTTCTCGTTTAACCGATCATGCGGGTAGATCTGTCTATGACTTTGCCTTGGCATATGGTCTAACACAACTAGTTACTTCGCCTACGCGGATCGCAGATGTGGAGGATCATGTACCTTCCCTGTTGGACCTTCTGCTGACCTCTCATCCGGACGGATATCAGGTCTTCGTCGATGCCCGCCTGGGCTCTTCGAACCATTGTCTGATACGGAGTACGGTGCCACTCACGCTTCAATCGCAGTTGTGATCTGCAGCTTGCCGCCGTGTTTGGCACTATAGGTCAGCCGATTGGGACGGGACGCGGTCGTTTTTTGCATCCTACCCTTGGGGGAGGGTTTGCTTCTCGCCGGAAGATCCCAGCGTTGTTGCCGATTCTGTTGCTGATGTAGTATTTCAGGGTATGGAACTTTTTATTCCATCCTCTGTGGTGCCCATCGGAGGCAGATCCCAGCCATGGTTTGGTCGCTCCTGTAAAATAGCATCACGCTATAAGCAGGAGTGCTACCGGACCTGGGCTGACGCATTAACGTCTCGGGATGTAAACACCAGCGCACTTAAAAAGAAGTATAATTCCGCCTCCAGGTCCTTCAAAAGCGTCATACTGCTGAGTGTTGCAACTAGTGACATGAGTACCAAGCTAATTACTCATCGTTAAGTACCCTAGGCCGCGAAATTTTCAGCCGCCCAGGTAATATAATAACATTCAGAATAAAAGTAAAATGTTTAAACATAAAAAAAATTACATTTGGCAAATTAAAATAATAAAAAACTACGCTTTGATCCTCGAGGAACCATCTGACATCAACAGTATGGGTATGGGATATCAAACCAACAAATCAAAGTTCTACAAAGTCAAGTGGACGTGTGCTAAGGCCCTGTTGAGAATCATTCTTACATTTTTGCTGGGAGAGTGATGAAATGCATAGGATTTACTATTTTTGGAAACTAAGCATTCTAAATAAAATTGTACTATTATTCGTTTCATTTTCGTCTTCCAAAAATTGTCATCTTTTCAAATGCGTTCAATACGTATAGGTTTATTTTCATTCGCCTGAATTCCAAGGAGAAATATTTGCCGTTCGGTCATGTGTAGTTGCCCCTGTACCTGGTAGTAAAATCACTTTTTTGTTAATTGTTGTGGTGTTAGATTTTTTTATCATCTTTATATATAAAAATTACGTGTCACATTGTTTGTCCGCAATGGACTCCTAAACTACTGAACTGATTTTAATGAAATTTTGCACACTGTGTGCAGTTTGGTCCAACTTAAGAGATAGTTTTTATCCCGATAAGTGACCCTTAACATTTTTTATTAGGAATTTGAGGATTTTTTTATTGAAGAAAGGGTCATCTCAAGAAAGGACAGAACAACGTCTGCCTGCTCAGCTAGTATATATAAAAATAAGAATATATATTTCTACTTTCTTAGTTTTCCAGCGAACGCTGACACTTTGAATATCTTGGCTGAATATGGGTATTCTTCAATTATTGCTAAATTTAGCTGTAAAATGTCAACTCTTGCTTTATTTTGCATCTGTTAACATTCGAGGAACCCAGCGCATGGCCATCATTTTAAATTTTAAAGTATGAGTTGAAATATACTGAATTTTCTCAAACGAAATCTGTAGAATTTCAACCAAATAACGGATAGTCATACGTTGATCTACCACAATACAATTTCTTCGATTTTTTTTAACGTTTTCATGCGTAGCGGCCGTTGTTAGCCGCCCGGAGCAAGTACCGTCATTGCGAGCGGTTTTGCCACGCTAAAATTCAGCGTATCAGTTCTAGTTTCTCCATTTTGCATACGAATCAAATTCCAGCCAAATGTAAATTTATAAAAAAAATTGGGTATAATTTTGAATTTGGTTGTTTCTGGCCTTCCAGGCCGAATTTAAGATTCGAAAAAATAGAACGCAAGTCTATAACTAAGATAAGTGTCCTAGATATTCCGAAAATTTTTTGATCAACCTAGTAAATTATACATATACGAGTAGTTCTCAGCTATAAAGACCACATCATATCGAGACATAGAAAATGGCTATCATCCATTATCGGTAGGTCGGCCTTCAATGCTAGAGAATCTAGTGTTAGGAAGAAGTTTTCAGAAACAATAATGGTCGTACTGATTTACTTAGAATGTGTTACTGTGGTTACCAAATGCTTTTTTATTTTTTTTCTAAGCCATTTTTCAAAAGCGCGGGGAGCGTATCATTTAACACAGGTCCAACTTTAACGACATCCTGACTAAGTTTTACTATTTTAATTTTTAATTGTTAACAAACTATTGATTAAAAAAAATATCCATTAAAATCACTTTATAATACGACCTTTAAGTAAATGCAATGTTAATATATTTTCGAGCTGTAATTACGATGTAAAACGAAAAAAGTTTTTAAAATCTACTCTGTTTCGGAGTTTTTTTTCGATCGAGCAAAGTACAATGTATCGTGTTTTAAATATTTAATATCACTCAATAAAGGATGTATCTATTACATATATTTTTTTTACGTAAAGACAATTTAAAATTAATTTTACAAGAGCCAATATTGGCCTGGCGTGCCATCCATTACTTTTGTGTGTGGCGTATGACACACGAGTCCTGTCTTTTTAAAAATCGTTATAACTCGCTCAAATTGCGTTTTTGGAAGATTTATCCAGAACAAAATATTCATTATTTTGCAAGTAGTTCACGCTTGCAGCTTCGTTTCTGGATGTTTTGAAAATTTTAAAATTTTTAGTGGGTTGACAACCTTTTTTTTACGTGTACATGGTACTATTTTTACTTTGTGGGTTTTAAATCATGTTGTGGAAAAATATTCTAATAAGTAACAAATAATAGCACTCATTGCGATCGCTCACAAACTCAAGTTGTAAATAAATTTCCGGAAAACAAGCCTCCTGTTAAAAGAAAACAATGCGTTTGTCTTATTGTTTAATTTTGCTTAAAGTGGTTGAACTGCCGTCTTATTACTATCATATGGTCGAATAGACCTACGAAGTACCATGTGCTCTTGTGATATAGTATAAGGTTTATTTTTGCTTGAAACAGTTCGAAACCGTTCATGCATAAAAAAAAGTTCACTAATAAATAGTCTTCTGTCAATCCGCCACCGTACAGCGCCGGCGTTTTTTTCCTTTTGAAAACATTTCTTTTGCTATTCTTAACAATGCGACGTTTTCAGATCGATTTTACTTT